CTGTGTCATGTGCATAAACTTAGGATCTCAAAATAGAGATAATGGTATTTAAATTTTTAAAAAGCAAAAATATGTTGAGGGGGAAAAATCCCACAATGCATATGAAGAAAGACCTCAGCTGCTGTGCTCAAAACGTGTCATTGTATTAGTGCAGAAGAGTTACAGTTTTGGCAGTTGGATTCTTGTCTAATTCAGATATCACAGTAGAGCTAAGGCTGATGTAGTACCAAAGATCAGCATACAACAACTGAAGCCATTTTGTGAGAGCACAGGATCTACAACACTGACAAGTACTCCAGTTAGACAATCTAAAAATGATAATGAAGGCTGATGCGATGAGATTGCCTCACACAAGCGAATTGTTTTGTGCAAGTCCCATCCCCTGAATAAACATGTTCAAGGAGATCTACAAATTGAGAATTTCAATCAACCAGTGTTACAGCAACAGAGAGATTGTAAGAAGAACACACTGGTGGAATACAAGGATAAATGAAAGCAGCATCAGGGAGATTATTTTTTCAAAAAAATAAAAAAGCTTATCTGAGTTATCACATACTTCAGTACTCTTTCTTGTCATAAAAAAGCTTTCAGACATTTGGCCATTTCTTGCACAATGATCATTTCACTTTTCTACCTTGACATATCCTGAATGCTCTGCTTAGTCTGACATGCATCCTATTACTGCTTTGACTGCCTCCTCATGAACTTCAGAATAAGTATCAGGAAGGTTTGATTATTCATTCAAACCAGTCCACTTGCATTAATGCTCCTGGTAATGACAAATTATATGAGGGATTCTTCAGCAGTACTTAGAGGATCTAAGAAGGGCACAATGGGCTTAATTCTTAACTGTTCTGTAATAATATGACTGCATTAAATGCTAGTGATGTTGCACAAAACTCTATCGCTATGAATACAATGTGTGAAATGAAGATTAATAATTAAATTTGCAATTTTATGCATTCCAGATGGGGGGAAAGCCCTATGCTGTCTCTGAAGTAACTCAAAAAGTAACTGTAGTCAGGCAGATTTTTGAAAAAAAATAGCTTAATTAGGTACTGGGCCTCTTTTCCTAATTTCAAGGCCAACTAAATGTAGTATGCATTAAGAACCTGAAGTTTCTCTTCTTTTTGGAGTTTTTCTCCGAGGAGAAAAGAATTCTAAATAATAGACTATATTTTGGCAAAGTTTTTGGGAAAATTTTTTAATTCAGCAGCCCTGAACCAAATAATTTATGAAAGATTTGTTAACAAAGATTAATTTTTTGTTTTAAACCTCTATTCAGAGCTGTTTCTGCTCGGCAGTTGCTAGCCTTGCTGTTTTTCCAGCTGCCAAAATTCAGTAAAACTGAAACCTTTGGCTTAGTTTTTATTCCTTGTATTTAATAAATGGCTTCAGTAGTAATCAAACTTGCACTGACCCTAGTAGAAGGCATCAGTTGCAAACAAAGAAAAAGCATTAAAAGCCATTTTTTTATTACATTATTGGCCTACTAAGGAAGAAGTAGTGTTTGATTACTAAAATAAGTGCTCTAGTAGGATTATGCTTGATGGCCTCCAAGCATGTTGCCCTACAATGGACTTTCAATACATTCTGTATAATCATTTCAGATACTGTTTCACTTAGTCCTCAGGAGCACCTGAGACATATTCAAAAACCAGGGCAGAAGTAATTCCAGCTGCCCTAGCAACCACTGCCTTCCCCAAGGGTTCATGGGCCCCCTCTCCCCAAAGCGCATGTCCCGACTGCATCTGTGCGATACCGCCGCAGAAATCTAGGCACCCTCAACACAAGGGCTCGCCCACCCACACAGCTTAGAGACTGTGCACACAGAAACGGGATCTGGAGTCTGTCTGACGCTCCTGGTGTCGGGGATGGCTGCAGGTCCATGATGGGCACCCTCAGCTGTCTGGCAGAGGAAGGCTGAGTGTGCCTCCGGTGCATCTCCAAGGGAGACGTGGCATCCACCTGCTCGAAAGGTCATCCCTGCAGTACAGGAGTCAAGGTAAAATCTGCAGATGGAATCAAAGAGAGTAGGCATTTCCGTCCACCTTCTTATCTTTTGCCAGCTAAATCATGGTCCTTGCTGTCAGGATTTTGGAGGAATTAGGACCTTATCTACACTAGATGCACGTTCATTAGAAGCAACACAGTTTAATCTAAGTTAGACCATGGAAATCAATGGAGTTCAGGCAGATTTAGAACACTCAGTTTGCAAACAGAATCTAGTCCTTAACTTGCTTACTATACTATTTTTATACTGTGACCTATTTTGTAGTTATCTTTGGAGAGGAATGTTTAAGTAAAGAACATGGTAAAAAAATGTGTCTCATTTACATGCTTTACATATTATTTCATTCCTTTAACAGGCATATGCATTTGTTTATTTGAACAACTATTGTAAAAATAGATAGAAAAACTGCCTAAAAGTGCTAAAATTTTAACAAAAATTTTAACAAAAATCTTATTCTGTTAAAGCTGAAGCTTTCAAAAGGAGTTTAGAGATTCTGTTGTAATACAGTTCAAGCTTGCTTTATCTATATGACTGCAGTGTAATTTAATCCCTACTTACTATTTCATTTGTAAGGTGAAAGACTTCAGATAATTTAGAATATAAGAATATATTCATACATGACATTACAAACAATAGCTCACCTGTGTGTCAAAATGTGTTGACTGAGAGATTTTAAAAAAGAAAAACCTGAATCAAAAAGAGTACCTGAGAAAGATCTAGGGTTTTTAATGTAAATAAATAAAAAAATAAAATAATTGAAAAGAAACCACAATTATACTGTTATATATATTTTACAACACACCCCTCCCCCCACTTATTTAAAGACTGTGAAGAAAGTGAACATTAAATGCAAAAATACTTCAATATTCGACCTAATCTGCATAAGCAAGAGGTAGATCAAGTAGGATTTTAGTTTAGTTGTTCTGAAAATGCAGATTGCCTTCACACTTTGTGATATGTCACAGGGGGAAAAAAAAAATAGCCTGCATTTCTCAATCCTATTTTAAACAAGGTCTATGAATAATATCTGGACTCATCCATCCATGTCAGACCTAAGGCTTGTGATTTCTTCCAAAATAGTCCAGTCCACACCAGCACGGTCTCCAGGCCTCCATTTCACATAACTGCTGCACTCCAGCTGCAAGGGTCTCCACTTGAGTCCTTCCTTACACATGCCTGTTAACAGCATTGCTTCTCAACAGATAGTTCTGATAATTTCCAAAGGCAAATACAAATAAAGACATTTTGGGGGTTTATTTCAACATTTAGACCATTTCTTCCTGCCCACAGTCTATTCTAATATCTATGATTTTTGTTAGCAGCCCTTGGTGCCTCGTGCACACCGCTGGCATGCTCTTTATTGTGCCTGCCTGCCAAACTCTTCTCCAGAAAAATGGCATTAACACATAAAATCTTATTGATACTCATATGCTCATTTTGCACATCACTGCATTCATTTTCTTACCAAGATTAAAATATTTATCAAAATTCGTTGGAGCCAGCTGTATTTGACTGGGTTATGTTTAGAAGCAAGAAGTTTGATCCAGCTGTCATTCTTCATAGTCCATCTGCTAGTTCTCCTATAGGACTTTTAAATACATATGCTTTTCACATTTTAAACAGTGTTTTCATTTCATTCTTCAATCACCCAGAACATATAATGGTCAAGCAATGTTTACAGTTCTCTTGCTGGATCTAAAAAACATCTTACATTTTTTTGCTTTATAAAATGCTCTAAATCTTTTATATAATTTTCACGAGTTTGTAGGAGAGCTCCACTTCTAAATCTTTTACACAGAAACATTAAAAGATCTTTTAATCTGCCTTCTTCCCTTCTCATACTAAACTAAAAATTCTCTTTGTTCTTTGCTAAATGGCTTCTGCATTTCAATAAGGTAGGTACAATCAGAGTTTATATATTATTGGAAAACAGATCTAAAGCTTACAGAATATTGCTAAAGTTTCAGTATCTGATTATTTTTTGAAAGGTGGTAAAGAATGCAGCTTGAAAAATGTAAGGAAAAAAAGAAGCAATGCTTCCATTGCAATTCTAGAAGTGTTCCTTTACAAAATAAACAATGAAAATGTATTTCTGTGGAAAGCAAGATTATCTTGATGTTATGAATTGGCTTACTTAATGTTTATTCTGGACCTTGCTGAATATGCTAATGAAACTCAGAGTCAAGGACTGTGCTTTCAGACTGCCCCTTGGTTGTTGTTTTATGAAGGTGGTGGCTGGAGAGAGGATTAATTTCTTGGGGTTTTCTAACTCACTAAGCATGATCAGCTGAACAGATACAATCCACAATCCAAATATACTTATCTGCTTATAAATTTTCTCCATGCGGTGGTTATTGCAAAAGAATAGTGGAAAATTCATGATATCTCAGCTCTCAAAATATTTGTGCTGTGTGCCTAGGTGGGATCCTTTTTTCCTACATCCCTGGTGATGAAGAAAAATAGAAGAGCCTCAATTCAGACTGAGTCTGATTCCTTTTGTAATGACTACTCTCTAATATTGTTTAATTGCCTGTGAAGATGCAAACAGGCCTAAAATCCATAATAATTAGCTTAAAATAACTGGCTGAGGTTCAGGCAAATCATCCAATATCAGCATTTCTTGTTACTTTGCAGAGTAAAAAGGAGAAAATTAAGAGAGATAATCAGTGAATGCAGTAGAAGGAAGGGTGGAGGTTTATTTGCTAAGAATATGTGTTCTAACACATCTTTTAGCTTTTCTTGTATGCTGCAGAGAGCAAACATAAGACCATATAAGCCATAGTCAGCATCTACACATTGAAATTCATATTTACAGGGTAGCTATGAGCCAAAATTTGCAAGGAGAGAAAGAAACTACTGAGAAAGACCAAGAAAGACATGTAGAAAAAACTAACTTCTGCCTCTCTATCAGTTAGAAAGAGAAAATATCTGTAGCCTGCAAAATTTGCCACATTTTGATTTTAGGTCAATGAACCACTTACACTTTGGACTGTGTTAACTGGGATTCTTCAAGTGATACCAGTGCATTTAACATCACCATTTGCTGTTAAATTCCAGAAGACAAACTAGCTGAAGTTGGAGCATGCTTCTGTTTATCAATTCCTCTGAACACACACTTCTCAAGGTTTGAAATTGCTGCTGTTTTCGCATTGCACCTAGAAATGAATATCAAATCAGTGAGTTTGCATGGAAATAGGTCACAGTGGAAGCACATACTTGCTAGAAACCAGCACACTACTTACATATATATGGGGGTTTTAATGAGTCTGTAATTAAAAACTTATCTACACTAGGAAATAAAACAGCAAAATGGGGAGGAAAAAACCCCAAAACAAAGCAACAACAAAACCCCCATCAAACTTCAGATAAAACCTAGACAGTATTGCCTCTATTTATGGCTAACGGGAAAAAGTTGGACGTTTTCATGCTTTTATATCCTCTCCAACAAACGAGCTTATGCATATCTAGATGAGAATAAGAATACCCCGGAACCTGTGGTTTATGCAGACAAATCACAGAGAAAAGAAATTGTGTGCAGGAGATGAAATAAATCACAAGTATATTAATTTCTCTCCCTCATGTCATTGCCGTGGACAATAATATTACTTGTATGGTGCTGCTGACATTTTCACCATCCTTATTCCAGTCTTGAACATTCCAATGAACATTCTGCTTGGCTGCAAAGAAAAGAAAGCAGACTGAAAGAGTAACATGAGCAGCAAGAATTTTGATGAACACTTCTGAAATGTGAGTGCATGCATGTGGGACGGGTGCATTGTTCAGTATATCTTCACACATCTTTTATTTCAACATTCATTTAAAGCTGCTGAAAATATTTTTTCTAAAATTTTGGTCTTGTAAACACTGATGTTAGAAAATATTTTTAACCATCTTATAACTCTGGAAAAGATATCCCATTAATGCCTGGCAGTCAGGTCTAAAAAACTTGCTGGAGGCTGGGATTATGATTCATTATTGAACTTCTCTCAACTTTTTCTTTAATGAATTCAGAGAAAATTTATTTTTACCTCAAGCTCTTTAAATTACTATAACCAAGTACATATACATACATAAAAATATAATGTAATATTTTGCTGTAAATAAAACAATTGAAAAAATAGCCATAGTCAGATACATATCTGCCTTCCTCACAAAGTTGTACCAATGAAAGTATGATTGGAGAAACCACAACAATATATTTCAAAGTAACAATAACCTTAACTGCTTTCAGAAGTTTTGATTTGGAAAGGCATGAGAATAACAATTACTATGTTTAGGTGAAGTATTGAACTTTCATTCCATTGTTTTAAATAAATTATTTTGCCTGTAAAATTAGAATCAATGTTGCTTCTACTGAGATTAATGGTAAAATATTCACCATATGAGCAGGACTAGATCTTACTCATCCCATAAATATCTACTATTTATATATCAATTTGTATATGAACCTTCAAAAGAATACAATTATATCCAGTAATGAAATGCTGCTCATTTTGCTCCCTGTCTTTCAAAGAAAAGACTGCACTGACTAAACATCAGTGGGCTACACAAGAAACTTGCAACAAGCTCTTAGTTCTGATCCGTTTTCTCTGAAAATAAACTTTCCAAAATCTATGTATGAAACGCACACAAAATTTCCATTTTCTGACCATTCCAAATCACAATTCAATATGCATTAGCTGGGCTTCTGTCAACATAATTTGCTACAGCAGTCAGATTTTCAGAAGGGCTTAGCTTGAGCTTTGCCACCAAAACAAATAAGATTATCAGAACAAGCACTGCATACAAGATGCTGACTTCTTTGAGAAATCTGTGTGCAAGTGTCATGGTTGGAGCTGCTTAATTCTGGCCTCTTCTGAACATTTGACCTTCATCTAAGACCCAGAGTGGTGCCAAATCCTCTTTAGAAAGCCCATCTCCCCAGACTGTCTTTTCTCCCTGTAAAAATCCACTCTACTGTATCTGCAGGATTAGCAGAATAAAATAGGATATGGAAGGGATACCATATGTAGTCCAACCATTTTGCTTTTTAACCATTATTCCTGCTTACTGCTTGATTTCAGGGGAATATTTATTTTAATTATTAAAGAGTAGAAAAAACAGAAAAGACCTTCTGAACTAATGTGTCTGCTCCTGTAAACTTCTCAAGATGGCTTAGCCTAAGGAAGGAGCTTCTAGACATCAATGTAAATTCACATTTTGATGGATTTTGTATTGATTGCCAATGTCAATGTTAAAGCATGTGCTATTTGGGCCTAAAGAAAGCACTTTCTAAAAATAGGCATCCAGTAGCCTAGTGGGCTTGAATTCATTGTTGACAGACTATCCAGTTTAATTGCAATTTCTTTTGTCCTACTATATATATTATATATTTATGTATTTTGTCTTACATTTTCTTATATCCAGTGACTTCAATCTGTTCCTTTTAGAATCATATAAATACAGTTATATTAAAAAATATAGGCCATTTTTAGATCAAATTAAGTATTCCATGGAGAAGTTCCATTTTTTACTGATTGTGATCACCATAAACACAAAACTAAGGGGTTTTCTTAAAAGAACAAAGAAAAATTGAAATTTTATAAGCATCCTCTGTGGCCTTTTAAAAAGGGAGATCTGAGGATTTTTCAGAACCATGTTCTCTTTTCATTTGTTACCATGTTCCAGTGGGAGAAAAAAGGTGGAAAAGAAATAACAGAAGCATAAAAGTACAGACAAAATAAGTTTATATTTTAATGCCAGACTATTCACAAAAGACAGAGAACAGCAGTGTATGAATTTAACATAGCTGTGGCGTCACTGCATCATCAGTATTTCCAGATCAGTTGGAGGATGTGACAAAATTAAACTTCTGAGGAGATACTTTCTGTAAATTCACAAACGTGAATCAAACCTTGCTGTTGGGATGATCAGCAGTTCTGTGACTTCAGTCATATCAAAATGACCACATTGTATATGAGGGGACCAAAGGCAAGAGGGCACACAAGATTGTCTGAAGATGAAGATCTCAAAGTCCTTCTGGAACATATAAAGTACAATATAGTTGTATACAACATTTATGCCAGAGAAGAAAGGGTAAGAAAAAGATAAAATCAACCAGAATATCTGGTTGCAAATCAGTGCACTAATTCTTGTTAGGGGCTTTCACCCATAGGGAAACTCTCTTTGTCTAAAGCTGATTATAACTTGGGATGGGTGCATTGTACAGTATCAAATAAGAGCAACATTTTATACAAGGAAAAAAACACAGACTTAGAATTTATTATGAACTTCATTAATTTTACTATGGTTCAACTTAACAAGATTCTATGCATTACAAATGTACACCAGGGTTTTCCAGACAGGATCCTGAGGAGTGAAACAAAACAGGGAACAAGAAGGAAAGAAAATAAGGTAAGTAAGGGGAATACACTGTCCAGAGAAAAGGTTTTGCCTGAGCACAGGAAGAACACAAAAGAAGTTCCTCTCTTACTAGATCACATTTGTTTGAAAACACAATCTCAAGAAGCAGCATTTGAAACTTTGACCAGAAATTAACATTTACTTTGTGATGAGCAACAAGCAGATTTCTTACTTTGCTGCAGATTACTTTGCTGCTCTATTTTCTTGGTGTGTTTTGCTTTGTATTTTATTTGTTTAGAAACAGTTAAACACAAATGAAAATTAAATTTAGTTTTTGATTCTTTTGTTGAAGCAAAACATCCCACTCAGTCTGAAATCAACCTACAGTTTGGGGCTTTGTTTAAATTTTGTGGACAAGAAAAATAAAGATATATTTTCCTTTGGTGTTGTTCCTTAACATTCTTTGTTTGGTTCCTTGGGCAAGTTCAAATTAAAAAGAAAAAAATTAGAGTTAGAATCATTTACAGAGCTCTACTCCTGCCACAAATTCTTGGGTCATTATTGGTCTGTCAGTGAGGCGATGTTGGTAGGAAAATCTCTCTTCCTCAAGTGCTCTTTTAAGAAAGTATTTCTAAACCTTCATTTGTGCTCTTTTCTTTTTCAAACATTGCTTTAAAAGTTTTGCTGCTGTTGCTTATGACAGCAGCACATAATAAGTTAGGACAGAAGTGTAAAATCTGCTAGATATCACAATTTATTACATTATATCGTAGGGGAAGAGACAGAGCTTCATATCTCAGGGAAAATAGTGACAAAACAATCAAGCAGAACCAAGTTAAGTACAGAATAACTGCAAGTAACTTGCACTCTGCCAGGTGAAATCATGCTGCTCCTGAGATCAGGGACGCTCTTGCAGGCTTTCCCACCAACTGCAGTGCAATAAGTACTCATCTTTATCTCCTGCAAGGAATTCACCAGCTAAATATCCACAGTCAACACTCACACAGAGATTAAGAGACTAATCATATCTTGTTTAGCCATATAAATCCCAGTTCAGCCGTTACAACTGTCCTAATTCTGTTATCAAGGGAGTAATTTAATATTGCTGACCCAGTTCAATAAGGTGGCAAGAGATGATAAAGGGAAGTATTCATCACAATAAGGTTAACACACGCTTTCCATGAAACACAACCGACTCCTGTGATCACTTGAGGGAACCTAGGCTATTCTTCCATTCTGAATTTTTGAATTTCTGAATTTTTTTCACCTTTGGCAAAAAAGCAGCAGAGGCTCACCTCTCTCTGTGCAAGCTTCCTGTTTTCCTCAGCATTCACTGATGTGGTGAATAGTATCTAGATACTGATATCTAGATATCTGCTCTGTTATTATCCCACTGCTCTGTGAGGAGAAAAAAAAAAAACAATCAACTGTTACAAGTCTCCATCCAGATGAACTCTTCCAGTAGTTTAACAAGTCTATACATACAAAATACCTTTAAACCTCCAGGCACGCGCTGCAGAAAACAAATTGCAAAATAGTCAAAATATAGGGAGGCAAAGGCAAAATAAAGAAAGGGTAGCTTCAGCCTCTCCAAATATTCCTTTACCACGGTGTTTATTAGATGGCTATTCTAGCTATTTTTCAGACATTCTCACTTCTTTTCCATACTCTTTTCTTTGTTGTGACTGTTCTTATTGTTAGAGAGTTGAGAAGCATTTCAAATGAAGGAGTCACATTTTCAATAATACATCAAACATAATCTGAGCACATTCAGAAATGATGGGGCCCATAGCAAATTACATGTTGCAAAGCCTCATCAGCTGAGGCGATTACTTCATTTCTTCAAGTCATTTTAAAAGAGCTAAGAAACTGATGCTATTTACATCATGTATATAAATAACATGTATCTCATATTTATATAAAATGTGTGAGATTGGTGAACATTATTGCAAGTGTTCATTTGAATTTTAACTTGAATTCATACGACCAGTGATTGCACAATGGAGACAATGATTGTACCCAACCCCTTTTGAATTTTCTCTCCACAGGATTTCAATGAATCTTTGCTTTTTTTTTGCATGAGTTTTCTCAGAGGCAAGGGCTTGTGATGACAAGTTCAGTCTTCACAGAGACAATTTTTAAAACATCATTTAAGGAGTGCCCCTAAAGATCAGCTATCTGAAGACAAACTCATTGTATTATGAAAGGGAAAGGAAAAAGGGAAAAAGGAGAAAAGGGGGAAAAGGGAGAATTGAGACATTTTCGGTATTTTGTTTGGAGTTTGCTTTGATTTCAGTTAAAATGCTTGTATAGGTAATATAAAACTTAAAACCTGGTTTGATAGATTTCAAAGGTGTTTATCAAAGACAAGGAGCACTTGTCAGCAAACTGTTTCCATCCTGAGATATATCAGGGACATATAAGAGCACATTTTTCTTTGTATGCATGGTATTACAACTGGTAAAGATAAGTATTTTTGCAGAAAACTGCATTTAATAATACAGCGGTAGATTATATAGCACAGTTCATTTGGTACACGACAGTGCTGCACATTTCAAATGGGTAACACTTCCAAAATCCCACAGAGAAGAAAACAATGAGCCACCCACACAAGGCACTGAAGCACCTCAGAGAAAAGAAGTTTACTTTGCTAATGAAATCTTTATAATCTATTAATCTCACCTATCTGGTATTATTTTACATACTGGGACAATTTATCACAGGATGCCCTTATTCCCAAAATTCCTCACCAGAGCCCTCAAGGCCAGTAAAGTAACACATCAGAGGGCAAATGTGATTGTGGATTTCACTTGTGAGGACTCTGGAAGTGGAAAAAAAGAATTTAAAAGAGCTGTGCTCATTCATTCAGAGAGTGGAAATAACAGCTTATTGATGACTGAAGAGTGGCTATAATTCCAAATATTGCTTTAACTTTCCCACCAGAAATATCATACAGGAGGCTTCTTGCAAATACCAGTTGGATCAAAAAAGTAGCATGAATGAGCTACTTTTTTCAATTATGTTTACCTCCTAGATTGGAAGATGCTTTCCGACTTATATAATGACATGCTTTATACTAAAAAAGCCAGTTAAGATTAGTTGGGACTGTCGGGACTAAAATCCACAATGGCTGAAGGACATAATCATTACAAAGATTGAGGTGACTTCCCAAAAGACTATTTCCACAAGTTGACGATGCCCTGAGCATTTTGAAAACTATCACAAAATTAATCAATGAAATCACACTCACTTGACATTCAGAAGGATTCCTAGTCACATTAAACACTTTGGAATCTGGACTTTGAGTCCCCAGGAAGTGAAAATCCTGCTGGTATTTTTGGATTTGTAATTTGCATTTAATTGTGACTGATTTTTTCCGAGTTTAAGAGTGCTCCTAGCCTATGATGGATAACCAAAAGGCAAATAAATCAGTCTCTGAAAAAAACTGGCCTTAAAGAACTTTTCTGCAGAAAAAACCCAACATGTCATAAAAATACAGTGAGGCAGAGACATTTCTAGTCCAGTAACTTAACCCCAAGGCAACTTTTCAGCTAATATGCAAATGGCAGAAGCAGCTGTGCATAGTGGCTTTTTACAGTTTGGATGCCTCATATAACAAAGGAAGTTTCATATTTTAATTCATGTTTTCCCCTAGATAACACTAGCTGAAAGAGCAGTGAACCTCCGACACTGAGCATCTGAAGACAAGGGTGCAATGTGGTATGGCCCTGGAGCCAACAGGTATTTGGCCCTGGATTTTAAAGGAGGTTTGTGTGGAGAACAGAAAAAAATGGAGAAAAAAACCCTAGCTACATTAACTTTGCATTGAAGCTGCTCCTGTAGCGCACGAAGAGAGGAGAAACTTTAACTATGCCAAGGCAAGAGAAGGAATAAAACTGTGACACATTCAGAGTCAGGCCAAACCAGAGGTAATTCCAAGGAAGGAAAGAGGTTCTGAGGACTCTCTGCAAATGAAAATTGGCAATTGGCACTGAGCCAATTTTGCAGATCCAGTGCTTTGCCACTCCTGAGTAATAAGCTTTGTTTGGGGGACATCAGCTCAATTTATTATACATAGATTAAATTTGATTTTCTACTGCATTGACAAATTATATACAGACAGGCTTATGAAAACCTCCTCTGCTGTTAAAATACTTTTGTTCATCTTTCTTATACCTGCAGTTCAAAAAAGGCTGAGAGCCATCAGAGTTGTTGGATTATTACTGAATGTAAGATAGCAGAAACCAATAATGTAAAAATATATAAGTACTCGATTTTCATTGCATTTGAAAAAAAAATCTAAACACTTAAGATACATAATCTATAAAACAACACAAAAAAAACCCATATTTGGAATTTACATGCAGGTCCTATTAAAAAATTACAAATGTTTTCAATATCCCAACATTAGGCAAGATTTATGCCTTCAGCTAAAATGAAAGCAGTCAGTAGGTTATTTATTTAGCCTCTAACACACTATAAATAACATCTAAATAAATTAACTTAATAGCCACCAGAAGCAAAAGAGTGACTTTGATAAGTGCCATTTCATAGGAAAGAAACACATCAGACAGATTCCCTACAAGACACTGAATCCACCTAAGAATGCTGACTGTGTCTGATGTACAAAATGCTATGTCCAACTTGCCAATATGCTTGAAGCTCTCCTCCTCTGCTCAGACAAATATTCAGCATTATGAAACTTAAAAATATTCAATTTGCACAAGATGTCCTGTTACAGTTTTGTCTGTTTTTGCAGTGTGGTGGTGCTTCTTTGTGCACACCTACATATTTGTCACCCTCAATAAATATTGAGGACACTGACGCATTTGAACTGGCTTTGAAAGACTGAGATCAGAAAGACCTGTCAGGTCCCAACAACTCCATGAAAAGTAGAAAAACCCTGGAAATGCCTGCATGAGAAAGCAACTCTTTATAAATCCTCACATCAAGGGAAAGCTTACATTTCCTTAGACAACAAAAATCAAAGAGAAAAATCATAGAATCACAGGGAAACAGATTTTATTCCTTTCTACAGTTATGGAAACACTGTTAATTAAATGCCTGCCTCAGTAAAATCTCTTCTAGAACTGTAGCTTGGGCATCATGTGGCTCCATGTCACCCTAGTCAATCCATGCTACTTCCCAGTCCTTTCCTTTAGCATCAGATGAGCCAGTATTTCAGAGGAAGCAGGGGAGTTAATCTACCACAATGCTCTAGACATGTTAAAAATTTTTCACTTTTTATCTTCTCAGCAGTGCAAAACAATCCTACCAGCCTAAAGAACACACACAGTGGTTTTCTTGTCAGGGGTCTCTACCTGAAAGGGCCTCCCTTTAACTCTTGAGACTCGTGTGCTGGTACTCCTGCTAACTTCTGTATCTCTACTTCCCTGTGTTCCTTATGGTTACAGAACTGCAAAAAGTGACAATTTCAAAGGTGGGTGGATAGTCTGGACAAAATCTTAGGAAAGTCTCAAATGTAAAAATATTTTAAGAAAACAGAAATTTTCACCAAAAGGGGAAAAAAGCAAATTGTGGAGTGCTTTCTGGCAGTAAAGCAGCTGCAAATGATCTCATTTATAATTCCACTTAATCTGTGGAAGGAAACAGAGACACCACCTCTAAGGCCAAGGTGCTGTGCTTAAACTGAGGTTAAATGAATGCAATGAATGCAGGAGCAGGGACTTGTGCCTTTTCCCTTTTATCTCTTTCTTTTTCAACATAGGTTTCTGAAGAAGCTCACCAGCATGGGACAGGACAGTCCTCAAGAGTGAAATGAGGATATGTCTCTCAATATCAACTCAGGGAAAAAAGTGCATTTTTTTTTAAAAATCCAAGGGGTGTTTTTATGGATGACTGCTACCATGAAACAAAGGACAGAGAAAGGACATAATTTATTTTTCAGAAAACAGAAATTACGAAATGGTGTTGTGCCAGAGAAAGCTTGACAAAAAGTATTCTTTGTTTGAGAGAAGATAATTCTAAGCACACTTTCATGGCAGCTGAAATGGGGATTTTAATTTTTTTTAAGATGGAAAAATTTACAAATGCAAGTACCGAGTGTTTTCCACTGAATATCAGTGTAGCTGAATATTTTCACTGTAGATGAAGTCAAGGATGTCTGAAGAGGTTTAAAGTATGCACTTACACTACAAGAAAGCAGAAAGTCTTTAAGTTCAAAGCTGACAGCTTAAGGAGACTAGAAGACAAGCATCTGGTTGCTTCTGTTTCCCCTTTCAAGAGGCAGCAGTTCAATGACACTTATTTCCTGCCTTGCTGTCCTCTTAATTTGACAGCAAGATTGAAACAATAATCATGTTTGGGAGATCTGAGGTAACATTCAGCGAAAGAACAAGAAGTAAAAGAAACATGAGAAACACAGCATTAAATTGTTC